GGGAGCTACAACGCTCAAGACTTTGAAGCTACTGCTAATAAATATCACTTCTAATCCAAATCGCAGAAATCGTTTCTGTATTTTTCGCTTGCGACATAATGTGCGGCCCTATATCCTATTATAATAATCACTTTATTACAATTGCGATAAAGATCGAAATAGAAGCGGATAAATTGTACCTTTGCTTAATTTGCTCCACAAATATTAGTCGTATTCACTGAGATCAGGTATAAATACCAAACGACGGATTTAAAAATCGAAATTTGGCCGAACGTGATTGAAATGCCGCCACTAATGAAAATTAACCTAGGATGTAATACTAAAAACGCACTGCAATCGAATAGAAAAGGTTTGTTGCTGATTATATCGCACTTTAATAAAAATTGACGAGTTTTCTAATTGAAAACTCCTTGGGAGCAACATTTAGCAAAACCTAGACGGAGTTTCGAAGAACAATATGCGTATTTTTTCTCGAGCTAAATATTTATCAGGCATCATATAGTGACATATCACAGAATCGATTCTGTCATGGTCGCGGTTGAAGTCTATTTTGCAGGAGCGCTCTTTACAATGCGAAGCTACCCCTTTATGGTTATATAAAGTACCGTGAGTACGGTGGTCAACTTTAATTGTGGTCAATTTGACGTATATCTTTCACAGAAACTTGGTTATAACACAGCACTCTTTGTGTATTAATTTCTGATACAAGTTTTTTTAACATTCAAACAGATAATCAAACTCATAGTTTAAACATGGTTTACCTGCTTTTGCGATCCGTGAGACCAAGATAGTCAGTTGATTGACCATATTACTACTTGTAATTGATTACGACAGATTACCTTGGTTTAGTACATCAAAACAACTTTTGCGCTAATTACGCAATTGGTGGAAAGTTTACAACATTAAAATTTGCAAGCAAAGTTATGCATGCATGATAATTTTTGGAAGAGAAAGTAAACACAGTTTTTCAAGTTTTTACAGTAGCGTTGAGACCCATGAGGTCATGGTATTGACCATGCATGAGGTGTTCATTCAGAGTTCAGTCAGAATTGCAGTATCCGGATGATTGTCGAACGTGTCGAACGTGTTGAGTTCTGGCAGTGATCGAGGACGCACGTAGTGTTTGCGGGTCCCAACTTTCTCACTTTTTACTATGCCGGTTTGACTTATCTCGCGAATTTTGTACCGAAACAATTTCAGTGAAAGGTTCAATTTTAGTGCAGTTCAATTAAAATTGTGCGAATAGTGAGAAAAACGGCTAGTTACAAGTGTTTTATTCCCGACAAATTCTACGGTAGTGCGTGAAACGAGGGCAAGTTTTTGAAACCCTCGGCGACTGCCTGAAACCGGAGAAGTTAGAACAATAGGTGCCTTGACGACGCTCAGGCCTCGCCTTCCTATACCCTCCCCTCCCCACCCTCTTGGCCCCTACACCTCCCCCTCTCCACCCGCCTTACGTGTTGATACCTTGATTCCTCCACCACACCTCTGTGTTTCCCTCGCCAGCTGCAGCTCAGTCGTATGTTTCTCCGTCCTTTTTCTGTATTTTTCTCTGTTCAAGAGATCTAGTTCGTGCATTTAATAATGGCTGGACAGAAAATAAAAAGATAGTCGAAAAGCCCTCAACGGCCTCTAGAGAAAAGCCATCTACGGCCTCTAGAGAAAAGCCATCTACGGCCTCTAGAATAAAAAATAAAACCAAATCAGCCCAGCTAGAGATGGAAGTTTGCAAGTACTGCAAAGAGATCTCTCTGAGCGAAGTCCAGACAGTCATTTGTATCAGCTGTTCAAAGTTGAGCTCTAAGGAGTACTCATTTCTCCAGAAATCTAAATTGCTTCATTGGTTTTGCCGTGATTGCGAAAAACCAACTCTTGGTGCTCGAAAAAGAGAGGAGTTGGTGGAAGAGCACGGCAATGAGTCGAAATTGTTGAATGATGTAGTAAACTCCTTGAGTGAGATGGTGCGCTCGCTGAGTGACAAA